GATGCTGCTAATGCTGATGATGATGCTGATGATAATGATGCTGATGATGATGATGATGACGATGACGATGATGATGGTAATGATGATGCTGCTGCTGATGATGATGCTGATGATGATGCTGATGATGATGCTGATTGTGATGATGATGATGATGATGAGGAGGAGGAGGAGGAGGAGGAGGATGATGATGACGACGATGATGATGATGCTGATGATGATGATGACGATGATGATGATGATGTGATGATGATGATGATGATGATGATGATGATGAGGATGCTGATGAGGATGAGGATGAGTATGAGGATGATGACGATGATGATGATGACGATGATGATGATCATGACGATGATGATGATGATGATGATGATGATGATGACGATGCTGATGATGATGATGATGATGATGATGATGATGATGATGATGATGATGATGATGATGATGATGATGATGATGATGATGATGATGATGATGATGATGATGATGATGATGATGATGATGATGGTGATCGTGATGATGATGGTGATACTGATGATGATGGATGATGATGATGATGTTGATGATGATGATAGAGATGGATGATGATGATGAGCGTTGATGCTGCTGAACTGATGATGATGATGAGATGATGCTGATGATGATGATGATGATGGGAGGAGGAGGAGGAGGAGGAGAGAGGAGGAGAGCGGAGGAGGGTAGGAGGAGGATGATGATGATGTTGATGATGATGATGATGAGGAGGAGGGAGAGGAGGAGGGAGGTGGATGCATAGGAGGAGGGGGAGGGGGAGGAGGAGGATAATGGAGACGAGAAGAAGGAGGAGGCGGAGGAGGAAGAAGAGGAGGAGGAGGAGCAGCAGCATCAGCAGGAGTAGGAGGAGGAGGACGAGGAGGAGGAGGATGCGGAAGAGGAGGGGCAGGGGAGGAGGAGGAGGCGGGGAGGAGGCGGGAAGGAGGAGGGAGAGGAGGAGGAGGAGACGAGGAGAGGAGGAGGCAGGAGGAGGAGGAGAGAGGAGGAGGAGGAGGAGGAGGAGGAGGAGGAGGGGGAGGATGGAGGAGGAGGGGAGGAGGAGGAGGAGGAGGAGGAGGAGGAGGAGGAGGAGGAGGATGAGGAGGAGGTGGAGGAGGAGGAGGAGGATGAGGAGGAGGAAGAGGAGAACTATCAGAGGATAAGCTGGAGGGGGGGGATTTGCAGGTGGAGGTGCTCGAGGAGGAGGAGGTGGAGGGAGGAGGAGGAGGAGGGAGGAGAGGAGGAGGAGGAGTGAGGAGGAGAGGAGGAGGAGGAGGAGGAGGAGGAGGAGGTGGAGGAGGTGGAGGAGGGGGAGGAGGAGGAGGAGGAGGAGGAGGAGGCGCACGGGCCAGAGCGCCATGGATATCGCAGAGGGAGCGGGGGTGGAGCATCCTCGCAGCCTTTGCGGGGGATCGCGCACGGGGCGACCAGGTTCGGGCAGGCGACCCGGCGACGTGCTCTCGGAGAGGGGCAGGTCTTGGCTTCCGCCCCGGATCTTGACCCCCTGCAGGGGCCGCTGCGGCCTTGCCCGCGCCTGCTCAAACGCGCCCCAGACGGGGCGCATGTCATGCGCGCCCTCTGGCGGCAACTACGCTAACGCCGTTTTGGCCCACGCACTCAACAGAAAAAGTCCCGAACAGGTTGGTGTATAGATGCGCTCCTCCCACCCTGAGGTCCCTCGTGGGCGGGCAGCATATCCACATCTACGGCCTCGCGGTCTGGATCCATAAGCCGCGACCCCATGGATATAGGGTGCCTTTGCGCGGGTTCCCGGCTCGGAGCGTATCCATTGTGTCGCGTACGCATCGGGCCGCGCCTTGACATCCAGGCCGCGAGGGCATGGCAAGGGCCATGTTCGTCGCTCGCGCCCCCTGGAGGTCCTGGAGGATCCCCAGAGGCCCCAGGGGGGCATCGGGAGACCCAATCAGGCTTTTGCCATTACCAGCCTCCATGGCTGAACAAGCCGCCGACGCGCGCCCCCCCCCAGCGCGCGTTGCGGCAGAAGAGTGTCGACTTCTCTTGCTTGCTAAAACTCAGGCGACGAAATCTATACATATCCACTGCGCCCTGGCCTGACCCTTCCTGGGCCCACGAGCTGTGTATACTCTCTACCGGCCAAGCCAGGAGGGCGTGGCGCATACGCCGCTGCTGGGCTCAGGATGGGCCTGGCCAGGGTGCAGCGGGTATGCACAGATCTCGCAGCCTTCTGGAACCACGGGGACCCAGGCAGAGCCCAGAGCGTTCCGAGGCGCTTCAAGACCTGCCTCCCCAGCGTCGGCAGCGGCGCGACACCGAGCCGTCGCGACGGCAGGCAGTACTTGAGCACTGCTGGCTCGGGCTGCGCCCTTGTGTCGAAAAATTCATCGAGCGAGGCAGGCATCAGTCAGGCGATCGTTTTTTTATTCATTGTTTTGCCGCTCGGCGCGGGCCCTCGCACCCCCACCCATAGAGTAGATCTGGGCTGTTTTTGGCGCCTGTTTCGAGCAGGTGGCATCTCCCCCATAGGACGCACTGCTGCAAACAGTCGCATTAAGCAGAGGTCTGGAGCCAGGCCCGCCCCCCTCACCCTCCCCCCGCCCACTGTCGACACGCCGAAAAAGAAAACGCTCACCAGGAACCTTTGCACTGGTGCATCTCCCCGACCCTCGAAGGCCCAGGGCGCACCGCTCGGCGCACGGCGGCGGCGGGGCGCGGCGAGAGGGCAGGGCGTCGCGAGGGGCGCGGCGGACCCCGCTGGAGGTACTTGCACGCCGAGGGCGTCGACCGCTTGTGGCTGCCAACCCGCGTCCTCAACCTGGGACTGTACAGAGGCGGGTCCGACGTCGTCGTTGTTGTCGTTGTCGTCGTCGTCGTCGTCGTCGTCGTCGTCGTCGTCGTCGTCGTCGTCGTCGTCTTCTCCATCGTCGCCGTCGCCGTTGTCGTCGTCGCATTCGTCGTCGCCGTCGTTGTCGTCGTCGTCGGCGGCGGCGGCGGCGTCGTCGGCGTCGCTGTCGTCGTCACCGGCGTCGGCGTCGGTGTCGGCGTCGATTATTTCGTTTCGGAAACTTTGAGCGCTTCTGGGGGTTCGTCTGGGCGCAGCTCGAAAGACTGGCCAGCATGGACCCCAGGAGGGGGCCCCGGACCGATTTCGGGCGGATTTTCTGACATCTCCAGGATCGGTCCCCGCTTTGGTGGTTTGACTCAGTCTAGGATTTGGCTTTCAAGAAGCAAAGCAAAATAGTTGGTTGTTTTTAAGTTGTATTGCATCCAGTTTACTTGGTTGCTCAATTTAGTGGTCTCCAAACCAAGCCAACGATGCATTGCATGCTTAAGTTGGCTGTTTTTTTGCCATCACCCCGCGTTGCCTCCTGATCATGGGGGCAACGTCCACCGCCATGGGGGCGTCAGTGGCGGTTTGCTCCCACGTCTCCCTGTCTCCCTGCGCCACCCATGTGCGGCACCACGCTGACCTTACGTAGTGTATACTCGTTTGCCCTGCTTGATGGGCCAATTCTCCACCACCAGTACCATGAGTAGGACGGGGGAGAAAGGGGGGATGGGGAGGTCCTCCTCCTCGTCCTCCTCCTCCTCCTCCGCCCCCTTCTCCCTCTCCTACCTGTACCTGTGGTAGTGGTGCTGGAGCATCGGCCCATCCCTGCTCTTGCTCTTCGGCTCCTCCTCTCCCTCTTTCTCCTGCGCTGCACTGGCAACCGCGCCAGTGGTGCTGGCCTCTGTGCCTTGGGCCCTCTCGGCTCCTTCGGTACGGGGGCCGCCTCCGACACTGCTCGGGATGTGTGGTCTACGTATTTGTACGCGCTAGATGTTACTTTCCTGTGGACGTTCGTTTTGTCATCTCTCCCCTCTCTCGTTTCCTTTTTTGTCTTTCTTTCTCCTGCCGGCTCCGTTATGGGTTCTTTAGGGAAGGCCAGCGGGGCCGTATAGGGGCTGCATTCACAACGCTGATGTCCGCTCCCCTTCTTCTCCTCCCTGTCCGCGTCTCTTGGGTTCTTCGTCGATCTTCCTCTTCCTTAGTCGTGCCAGCAATCTGTAGCACCACACCTCGTCCATTTCAGGCGCCAGTATGTGTAGCCTGGTCTCTTTGACTGGCCAGCGCACTTTGGTGACTCGTCCTGGAGTGGCAGCTGCTTGGGTGGTCGCTTGCGGCGAAAAAGTGTCTAGGGGCTCACGGGCTTGAGCTCTGTTTTAGTCGGTTTTGCTTTTACCTCGCTTTGTTTATCATCTCGATTTCTTTATTTTGTTGTTGCCTGTCTTATTACCTCCCTTTCTTTCTCTACCCCTCCCTTGTTGTTCTTTTTTCCTTTCCTACTTCTTTGTTCAGTCTTTTTTTCTTTCTTTGTTTTTTTATATATTCTTTTTAGTCTTTCTTTTTGTATTTACTTGTGTGTTTAGGTGTTTGTTTTTTTGTTCTGCTCTTATCTGTTTTTTATGTTTTGCCCTTTTTTACTTCTTCCTGATGGGGCGCAGCCTCCATGAAGGAGGTGATGATGGTGGAGGAGGAGGAGGAGGGGGAGGAGGAGGAGGAGGAGGAGGAGGAGAAGGAGGAGGAGGAGGAGGGGAGGAGCAGGAGGGGGAAGGGGAGGAGGAGGAGAGGAGAGGAGGAGGAGGAGAAGAGGACGAAGAGGAGGAGGAGGAGGAGGAGGAGGAGGAGGAGGAGGAGGAGGAGGAGGACCAGTTGTGGAGACGCTCCTGTTTTATCGATATAGGTTTAGCATAATGTTCTTTCCCGTGAAGCCCAACATTCCAGCTTACGGGAGGTCAGGACTGTTCGTATGCGTTTCAGGGAAGGATGTACTGTCGTTGTCACATTATGGCTCAAGGCCAAAATGCATCTGCTCATCCTGCTGCTGCCACAGTTGGTAGCGGAGCAGTGTTCGGCGCGGCATGCATGGGCGCCCCCAGGCACCGCTGATCAGCGGTGGTGTCGGGGGCAGCTCGGGCGGCTGCGCGGGCGCTGCTCTCACCGGACTGGACAGAGCGCGGATCCACGGCAGGCATTGATGCCAGGGCCAGATGACACTGGCCCAGGAGACGAGAAGAACGAGACGTACGCCGTCATAGGCGGAGGACGCTTGGCCCAGTCAGAGGGGACTGGGGAGGGGACGGCGTCACCGCCACCCGTCGGAGGCGCAGCGAGCTCGAGCCCACAGGTCACGGAGCAGCTGAAGCAGCTGATCCAGCAGGCCGTGAAGGACGCAGTGAGGAACCTCGGCCCGGGGCTCAGCCAGAGCGCCGCCGGCGCAGGCGACGACTACGGCGGCACCAAGAGCGGCCGGCAGGAGAGCTCTAGGGGTCAGGATCCCTGGAGCGACGGCCGTGATCCATGGAAGAACGGACAGCCGGAGCCTGACGAAAGCAAGTGGGGCCCCGGGGGCCGACAGCAGCAGGACACCAAGCGGGACGACGTCAGGGACTCCGACTGGAAGGACGACAACAAGGGCGGCTGGAGGAACCACAACTGGAACGAGGGCGGCTGGTCAAAAGGTGACTACTCAGACCCACCTGCATGGCCAGGATGGGGCCACTACCGCCTGTGGAAAAGGGCGATCCAGCGGTGGAACCGCAACACTGACGTGCAGCTGTGGAGGCGGTCGGAGCGCTTCCTGAAGCTGTTCGACTGGACGATGCAGGCGAAGTTCGAGGACATCAGCGAGAACGTGCTGTGCGGGCCCCGCTGGCTGGACACTTTCCTCGAGAGAATGGACCTCATGAGCGGCCAGCGAGAGGGCGACGACATGCGCAGAGCTGGTCGCAGAGCACTGTTCGAGTGCACGAAGGGCCAGAAGGAGAGTCTCACGCAGTTCGTAGCAAGACGCGATCAGCAGATGACTGACGCCGAGAGCCATGACATATGGATGTCGGATAAGATGAAGGGCCTCATGCTCGAGGAGGGTGCGGGACTGAGCGCGCAAGGTCAACAGAACCTGCGCGCCCTCACCAAGGGCAGCCTAGACTACAGGGACGTGGCCTGGGCTCTCAGGCAGCTCGACTACGGCAGCGGCGAGAAGCTGCTGCCCGGCAGCAGTGCCTCGCACCCAGTCCTGGCCGCAGAAGACGGCGAGGACGGACGAGGCCACAGCTCTCTCCCTCTTCCTCACTCGTCCTCCCAGGCTTGCCAGGTCTCGGGCTCCGGGACCGCTCGACAGGACGAAGAATCGTACTACGACGAGTCGGGAGAGGATCCAGACGAAGACGAGGAGCTATCCGAGACAGACCTCATGGCCATTTTGGCGGAGATTGAGGATCTGGATCTCGACGAGGACGACGCCACCGAGGCCTTCGTGCAGATGACGGGCAAGGTGCAGCGCAGGTCCTGGAAGCAGAACAAGGACCTGAAGCGCGCGGCGAAGCAGGACCGCGAGTTCTACGGTGCACGACCTCGCCGGGGCGACGACGATGGACGCCGTGGTGGGGGCGGCCGAGGCGGCGCAGGAGGCCGAGGCCGCGCGCGCGGACGAGGCCGAGGAGATAGGCCGAAGGATGCCGGCGCCACGAGTCAGAGGATCCTCAGGCTCATGAAGGTCACCCGCTGCAAGAACTGCAACGAGAAGGGCCACTGGTCACGGGAGTGTCCCCAGCCGCGGAAGGAGGACGGCGGCAAGGGTCCCGATCGGTCAAAGCGAGGTCTGGCCGGGTACACGTTCGACGGCTGCAGCTACCCGATCATGAACAACGACGAGCTCGAGAAGCTGAAGGACATCCGGAAGGAGGCGCGGGCCATCGAGGTCTACCTCAACGCCTCCGTGACGCAGGGCCTCGTGGACCCAGGGGCCGGCAGCGACATAGTGGGACTGCCATCACTGAACCGAGAGGCCGAGGCGCTGGCTCGTCACGGTCTTCGCTACGTAGTAGTACCAGGAGAGTTCAAGGCGCCCAAGAAGGCGCATGGCATCGGAGGCGAGGCAAAAGTGATTTGTACCATCCTCTATCCGATGTGCCTCGGCGGAGTGATGGGAGTTGTGGAGGCCACGGTGCTGGGCGAAGGCGTTCCGCATATACTGAGCGTCAATCTGCTGGATTTCCTAGGCTGCGTGCTCGACCTTCCTCGTAATCTTCTGATTTCGCAGTTTTTAGCTCAGGACATTCCTGTCGCCAAGCTGGGCTCCGGTCACCGCGTGGCCGATATCGTGCGGGGGACTAAGGGGAGCCACACTACCCCAGACAGTGCGCTTCGGAAGTATCCTTTTCTGACAGCGTCTTCTTTTGTACTGGCCACTGGGCAACCGTCACCTGTGATGAGCGCCAGCGGAGAGATGAGCGCTTACAGGGTTGTCCTCTACCTCCTTCCCCTCAGCTTCAATCGGATCGAGCACAGTACCGTACGCCAGGGCCGAGCCCGGGGACAACACTTATCGATCGAGCTCGAGTTTAGCGACCAGCACCAGCCGCGAGCTCAGTGGAGCGGCCTAGCGATGGTCCGGGCCTCGGGATCCCGCGGAGAAGCTAAGGATGAGGAGTACCACCAGAACCAGGCCAGTGAGACGACCAGAGCCCTCGACCTCGGATCAGCGTGTAGGGCTATTTACGACCTCGGGGCTCTCGGTCTCTCGGCGATAACCATGTGGGTTCAGATTGTCCTGGTGATTTCCGTGGCCAGTTTGGGCTCAAACTCGTTTAGGCGATTCCAAGTTTCCAATCTCGATCGCCTTCGGAGTCACATCTTGGGCGATTCACTCCATGTTCATGTTTCGTGTAGCGATGGTGCTGGCTCTCGGCACGCACCCCGCCGTCGGAGGCAAGAAGAAGGAGCCTGTTGCCAAGCAGCTTACCGAGGAGTTGCTGGCGCAGCGCCACGCCGAGAGAGAGGAGGACTCCGAGGTGTCCTCAGAGGTGTTCGAGTCCTCAGCCGGAGCAGCCGGCTCGGCGGCACACAGCGAGGCGACGGCGGCGGCGGGCAGCGACGTGCCCATGCCCCAGCAGCCACCCGGAGTCAGCAGTTCCTCGGGCGACCAGCAGCACCAGGCGCTCGCGGCGTTACAAGGGCTGCCGACACCGACGAGCCTCGGACCCGCCCAGGCCGCGGCGGGCCCCCTGGTGGTGAAGGCACCCCCTCCACACCTTCAGCAGCAGCAACCCGCATCGAGACCGCAGCCAGCGCTGCGGGGGGCGGCAGCCGCAGCGTCTCAGTGGCCCCCAGCTCCACCGATCGAGGGGACCATCCAGCCGACGATGCCCCAGGCGCTGCATGCCCTAGCCCAGGCGGGTGTCGAGCACCGCGGCCAGCCACCTCTGCCATCAGGACCGCCTCCAGCGGCCGTAGCAGCGGAGGGGACGGCGGCCGCCGCGGCAGCTGGAGGAGGAGCGACGGCGCCGACGCCAGGGGTGCTATTCGGGCCAGCGGCGGGGAAGCCACCCCCCAAGGCATCGCCCCACTGCAGTCATCCAGCCTCGGCGATCAAGTACTACGGGAACCAGCACGGCTCGGGATCGAGGTGCACTCTCTGCGGAGCGCGCATTGCATGGATTCCCGGAGGCCGCGCTGGTCAAGGAGGTGCACCGGCAGTGCCAACGGCGGCCGAGGCCGCGCGGGCAGCGGCGTCATCCGCTCAGAGGGCGGTGGACCTCCTGACCAGCGACCCGCAGTTCAAGGCGGGAGGCGCGGCGCTGACGACGGTGAATCAGCTGTGCGGTTTGCTCCAGGGTCTCCAGTGGCAGCTTCAGGCGATTCCAGAAGGAGTTCGTGCGCTGGGTCAGGTGCAGTCGGTGGTGGACCAGATGATCCAGGTCGCGACGCAGACCCAGCAGTTTCCTACGCAGATGGAGGAAGGGCTCCAGCAGATATTCCAGGGCATCACCGCCATCAAGACGCAGCTCACCGGGATGGCGGACTTCGCGATAGCCATCGACACGCTCCAGGAGTCGGTCAACGCCATCGCGGGCACGCTCTCCGGGATGGAGACAGCGATCGGCCAGATCGGATTCATGCTCGTGAACGTGGGCACAGCAGTGGCGGCCATAGCGCACGTGGCCAACGGGGGGCAGCAGGTCGAGGACCAGTGGCACGTTCCTCAGCAGGCAGCTGCAGCAGCGGTGGCAGCAGCTCCCTTTCACCAGGCCCCGACAGCGGCCATCGGCGCGGCCGGCTCGGCAGCGGCATCCTCGTCCGGGGCAGCCAGCCCTCCTCCGCCGTCCTACCCGCCACCGATCGACGACCAGGCGACAGTGGCAGGCGGGGACCCCTGGACGGTTACCGACCCGTACGGGACGAGGACCACCACAGCACCGACCATGTCGGGAGCAACGACGGCGACTACGACGCGTCCTCCGTTGCCGACGATCCCAGAGGCGAGCCTCGACTCATGGGAGGTGCTCGGGAACGATCCCGAGCCAATGATCTAGCGGGCTCATACGTGATTCTGGCTGCTGCCACTCAGTGTGGCCGAGCTGCCCCTGGCGGCTGCAGTTGTGCAGCGCAAAAGGCATCATCATTATCTCCAGCGTCCACTCAAGTCAGGGATGGTCGCTCGATTCCGACGTTTCCTGTGTTTGCCTCGGTCGTTGGACCTCAGTCGCCAGTGGAGGGACACAGCTCGAAAAGCGATTTCGAAGGAATCGAGTGGCAGGACGGGGACAACTTTAACGATGACCACGAGGTCACGCTGCCCAAGCAAGTTCGGCGAGCTCTAGAACTCAGGGCCAGGCCGGACGGGTCCCAGGAGGGCCCAACTACGGAGCTGTTTGTCTCAAAGAACCGAGGAATCAGCTTCATGGAAGTGTTCTCACCTCCTAGGATCGCGCCCAGAGTGCAGCGCCGTGGGGGAACTCTGGGGGTCAGGCCTAGTTGCGATCTGAGGACCGGATGGGACTCTAGGAGAGCGAACGACCAGTTAGATCTCTGGGCGGCCATAGAGAAAGAGAAGCCAGACATGATCTGGTTGTGCCCACCCTGCAAGGTTTTCTCGGCTATTAGTCGCATCAGCAGAGCCGTCCGAGACCCGTTTAAATGGAAGCAGGCCGTAACTGACGGGGTCAACGATTTAATCTTTTGCATGCGCATAGCCCTGTACCAATTGGAGCGAGGGCGGTACTTCGCGTTTGAACACCCTCCGTTTGCGAGTTCCTGGGCGACTAAGGTAGTACAGTTGGTCGCTCAGCTTCCAGGCGTTCGCCGTGCTCGGATCGACATGTGTATGTTCGGGCTCCGAGTCACTAAGGATGGCCTCAACAAGAAGCCCACGGGGTTGCTCACCAACCACCCTAGGCTCTCAGAGATCATGGACGGTAGGCTGTGTTCCGGAGACCACCAGCATGTGCTCCTAGAGGGGAGTGGCAGGACTTC